ATGTTGTATTATGTTAATTAGCCATGCTAATGTATGTATGAGAGAGACTGGAAACTAATATAGTTAGTTGACCACGAGGAATAAACATGGCGGACGCAAGTTTGTATTGTCATACTTCACTCGTCAATAACTCAACATGGTGGCAGCGGTGGGATAAATTAACTAAAGAAAAGCTAAATCTTACGTCAAGTGAAGTTTAAGCCGAATATTTTACTCACTAAAACGTCAGAAAAAGTGAAATAATGCCGGAAAACCCACCACAAGAAATCGTCGGTGCTTCGGTTGCAAGTTTTCAAGTTCCACCCCCTGAAAAGTTCTCTTTCAAAGCAGAGGAATGGCAAAAATGGATAAGAAGGTTCGAAAGATTCAGAAAAGCCACAGCTCTGGAYAAAAAAGACGAAGAAAGTCAGGTCAGCACGTTAATATATACAATGGGCGAAGAAGCCGATGATATCTTTGTGTCATTTGAATTAAGCACCGAGCAAGCAAAAAAATATGACACAGTAAGAAGCAAGTTTGAATATAAGTTCACGCTTAAACGAAATGTGATTTTTGAAAGAGCAAAATTTAATTCACGAGTCCAACAACAAGATGAAACAGTTGATAGTTTTATCACAGACTTGTACAAACTTGCTCAGTACTGTGATTTTAAGATATTGAAGGAGGAACTAATCAGAGATAGAATTGTTGTAGGACTGAGGGACAGGCGACTCTCAGAAAGACTGCAACTTGACCCAAAACTTACCCTAGAAGTAGCCATAACACAAGCTAAACAGTCCGAAATGATAAAAAAACAACAAAGCGTAATTCATAAAGAAACTGCACCAGCCAATGTAGACAGGATCAGGAAAGCTAAGCCTAGCACACTATCCAAGCCACAAACACCAGAGAAGTCAAACTATGGAGGAAAATGTGGTAAATGTGGAGGTACGCAACATCCTAAAGCCAAATGTCCAGCCAAAGACTCCAAGTGCAATAGCTGCCATAAAAAGGGACATTGGAGTAAGGTATGCAGAGCAACAAAGTCAAAACCAGGACGCCTACTAGAAGTAGATGATACTGACTCGGAGCTGTTTCTGGGAGAAGTCATTGATGCAATAAGTGTCACTACAGGAGAGCTAAAAACAGTACTACAGCTGAATGGAAACCCAGTACAATTCAAGATAGATACAGGAGCTGACGTTACTGTAATAACAGAGAATACCTACAAAAACACAAAACCACAACAAAGCCYGCAACATACAAGCAAAGTTCTGATGGGACCATGCAAATACAAAATGACGTGTGTAGGTGTGTTCAAGCCAAACATATACSCTTCATCAACAGACAAGAACACCATAGAGCAAGTGTATGTCATCAAAGACCTAGAGAGAAATCTGCTAAGCAGAACAGCTGCAGTGAAGTTAGGCCTGATATCGCTTGTCAATGCAGTCAACAAGGATCACTATGGAAAATCCATAGAAGAGAAATATCCTGAGCTGTTCCTTGGTCTGGGACACATGAAAGATGAGTATACGTATAAGATAACACTTGAAGAGAATGCACAACCCTACTCACTGTCAGTTCCAAGAAAGGTTGCATTGCCTTTATACGAAAATACCAAGAAAGAACTAGACCGCATGTTGAAATCAGGTGTAATATCCAAAGTAGACCAACCCACCGAATGGTGTGCACCCATGGTGGTACGACCAAAGTCAAATGATAAAGTAAGGATATGTGTGGACTTAACAGCACTCAACCGTTACGTAAAAAGAGAAAATCACCCCCTACCAGCTATTGATACAACACTTGCTAAATTGTCAGACGCCTCAGTTTTCTCCAAACTGGATGCCAATTCGGGATTTTGGCAAACCCCTCTAGATGAAGAATCTCAACACCTGACAACTTTCATCACACCCTGGGGTAGGTTCATGTTCAACGTCTTGCCATACGGAATAAGCTCTGGCTCTGAGAAATTCCAAAAGAACATGAATATGATCCTCGAGGGATTGGACGGTGTAGAATGCAGTATTGATGATGTCCTGATTCATGGTAAAACACAAGGCGAACACGACACTCGACTTCAAACTGTCCTGGAAAGAATAAGGGATGCCGGAATGACCCTAAACCTGAGCAAGTGTSAATTCAGCAAACCTGAAGTCAAGTTCCTTGGACATGTGATAAGTGCTAGAGGTATAGAGGCAGATCCAGAAAAGGTGAAAGCAATTGCCGACCTTCCAAGCCCTAAAAATGTCAGTGAAGTTAGAATGTTCTTGGGTATGGTCAACCAGCTAAGCAAATTCACACCCCACCTTGCTGAAAAGACTAAACCTATCAGAGACCTACTACAAAAGAATAACGCATGGTGTTGGCAAGACTCACAGCAGAAAGCGTTCGATGATGTCAAAGGATCTCTGTTGAAGAGACCAACGCTAGCAAAGTATGATGTAAACAAAGAAATAAAAGTCTCTGCAGATGCGTCGTCGTATGGGTTGGGAGCAGTGGTGCTACAGCAGCAAACTGATCAGACCTGGAGACCTATATCATATATCTCAAGAGCAATGACACCCACAGAAAAGCGATACGCGCAAATAGAGAAAGAGGCGTTAGCCATCACCTGGGCCTGCGAGAGGTCTAGCGACTACATCGTGGGAAAAGCTATCTACATTGAAACAGATCACAAGCCATTAGTGCCAATTCTCACGACGCACACATTGGATCAACTCAGTCCAAGGATTCAGCGAATGAGAATGAGACTGATGCGATTCAACTTCAAGGAAGTCAAGCATDCACCAGGTAAAGAATTGTGTGTGGCAGATGCCCTTTCAAGACTACAAAGCAAACAGCAGAATGCTGTGCCAACCATCAGTGATGAAGAAATGAAGGCACACGTGGACAGCTTTATTCAGACACTACCCGTCTCTGACGCAAAGCTGCAAGAGATAATCGAGCTACAAGACGAAGATGTTGTGTGCAAGGAGCTAAAAAGGTTCTGCCTAGAGGGATGGCCAATCAAAGACAGACTGACAACATCACTGAAACCATACTGGAGTGARAGAGCATCACTCGCAGTCGTTAACAATCTTCTCGTTAAAGAGTCAAGGATCGTAATACCATCAACCATGCGCTTGGAAGTACTGGATAAGATCCACGAGGGACACCAGGGAATAACCAAGTGTAGAGCCCGAGCAAAAAGTGCTGTTTGGTGGCCTGGACTCAGCCGAGAAATACAAGACATGGTTAGTAATTGCAGAATTTGTGCAAAACAGCAAGAGGCCAGAAAGGAACCACTTATGCCAACTCCTATGCCAGAACGCCCCTGGCAAGTCATAGCTACTGACTTATTTCAGCTACAAAGTGACATTTACCTACTCATTATAGACTATTTCTCAAGATATGTTGAAGTGGCAAAGGTAACCCAGTCACAGACATCACAGGAAATCATAAAGAAGTTAAAGGAAGTCTTCGCAAGACATGGTGTACCTGAGCAGATAAGATCTGACAATGGACCGCAGTACTCTTCAGCAGAGTTTGCTCAATTTGTAAAGGAGTGGGGAATCAAACACACCACTAGCAGTCCAAAGTTCCCCAGTTCCAATGGCGAGGTTGAGAGAGGTGTTAGAACTGTAAAGAATCTGTTAAAGAAAGGTGAGGACCACTGGAAAGCACTCTTATCATACAGATCCACCCCATTAGCCTGCGGCCATTCCCCAGCGGAGCTGTTGATGGGCAGGAAGCTAAGAACAACATTGCCAATGTTGCCATCTGCCTTGACACCAAAGTGGCCAAACATGGAAG